GTGATTTGCATTTCCGCGTTATTGTTGAGATATTAATGTAACAAAGGTTAAGCGAAGTCATAAATTCCAACCCAATTGAAATCTGAAAATCCTACAACTTTCGCAATTGTTAGTTTAAAGTTAATCATTTTCTTTTCAATTCTAATTTCAAAGAGTTTAATTGTGTGTGTCTTTTTCGTTAAATTGAATCAATTCTCCTGTAATTAGAAGAAACACTCTTCGAGGGATCGACTCGGACGCAAAAAGTCCATTTTACTGCTTGATCGCGACCCCGTGCACTTGCGATGTATATTTTTAGTTGACACGTTTTTGGCGCTGTTGCCGGGATGTATTAATCTGATTACTAGTTTAGTTGTTATTCATTTTAACGATTTTTATTTTTATTTTATTTTACACATTTAGTTTCTATTGTGAGGTTGACTTCTAAATTGTTGTTTTCCTAAGTCTTTGATTGTGTATGAATCGATCGAGAAGTCTCTATCTTGTCGAATTTGATCTAGAAATTGAAAAGACTTTTCGAAGAAGGTTAACGGAACAACAAGAAGTGAGAAGGCAACAGCTTGATAGAGAGGTAATGTTGACCCTAATGTTCAACCTGAACATGTTCTTAGGGATGATGTTCCTCCGGGCTTCAATAATCAAACGGGTAGGATCCAAAATCTTGTGGTAAATGAGAAAGACATGTTTTTTTGGGATTTCTTGAACCGTCATGTGGTGGAAAATCAATCGGGTATCATCTATCCTTCTTATGGGCATCTGAACTTCCAACTTCAGCCTTATGTTATTAATCTTTTTTCGAACACCATATCCTTCTATGGGAGAATCGATGAAAACCCACATGCTCACATTGCGCGGTTCGTGAAAATTGTTAGCAACTTCAATTATGAGGGTGTGAATGTGGAGGCTGTCCAGATGAGGCTATGTGTACACATTTTAAAATACAAGGCAAGAGAGGCTTGACACTTTACCATTGGGGAGTATCACGGGTTGGGTGGAATTGGTACAAAAATTCACAACCAAGTTCTTTCCACCCGTTCGTGTGGCTAAGCTCAAATACGATATAACCACCTTCCAACAACTTGACACGGAAAGCTTTCATGAGGCTTGGGAGAGGTTTAAAGATATGCTCAGAAAGTGCCCAGATCATGGGATTACTATAGCACAACAAGTCCAATATTTCTATGCCGGTTTGACTCTCTCTTACCATTCAAATGTGGATTCATCTTCAAATGGGTTAATCCAAAATAAAAGCATCCGGGAATCATATGAATTATTTGAAGTCATGAGTGAGGAAAGTGCTATGTGGTCGGATAGGCGTGTGCAAATGGGAGCTAGTGGAGCTCGTGAGAGTGAAGCATATTCTCTAGTTTT